ATTTTGAGGGGTTGAAGCGCCCCCTATAGGGGGTTGCTGGTTCAAGCCTCAAATATACGTCAATGTCCCCCAAAGAAAATCATCCGACGTGTTTCGGGAAATTTTTCCAATTAATATGGGATAAGAAATATACGGGGTGGTTCGTCTGAGATGGAACACACTGTATGATCCAACAGAATTAAACACTGGTCCATAAATACTGCAAAATGATTAACCAATCGTTCAAAAAAGATGTAAAGAATATTCTTAATTCAACAAAAGTATAAATATATAAACAACACTAAAAAACATTTAAAAACAAATGTCCGATTTTGAGATTACTGGTGCCATCTATCAACAGATAGTCACACTATCGAGTTGCACATATTACTTGTAGAGGCCGTAACTTGATTTTAAAATAACGCACTTTTCTCTCACGCTCATGGACATAGATTACTAATGTGAACTCATGGAGAAACGATTATTACTCACGTTCAGGCCTCGCAACGAAATCGAGACAGGCGTTACAAAAAATGAGCCTGGTCCGAGCTGGTGCCGCTACAAATATCCGCTAAGCTAGCGGATCCGCGCTTTTCTCAGGTTCAGTACAAGCTACAAAAGGGAGACTAGCGTAACAAAAAAGCTACGAAAAACCAGCTGGGTCTGAATCTGCTCCGCTACTATGGAATTTATGGAAATTCAAGCTAGCGGATCCGCTGTTTTTTCGGACCTGAGCAAAGCTACAAATTGGCAAATAGCGTAACAAAAAAGCTACAAAAACCCACCAGGTCTTGTATGGTGCCGCCACATAGTGCCCGCTAGCTTGATATAGCCCAAATTAAACGCTTGAATGTTCTTGAACGAACCAAGACCAAATTGATCACACTCTTTTTGGTTAGAGCGTGTTTCTCGAACGCGCTCCTGACGGCACATACATTTGACATGTCCTCTCAAAATTGCAGAATACAGTCCCATTCTCCCATTTATCACCCTACGACTACTTCCAAATTAACAACCATTCGTTTCAAAGAAAATACCTTGTTATCATACTTTCTTGCTACCCTATATACGTTTAAGTAAAAGTTAATTAGCACATATATACCTATAGGTAATGAAGAGTGCACATTTATTTAATGGATTATATGTTCCCGGTCATGAAAATGTACGCCCAGTATATTTGTTTTGTGAGTTTTTTGAAATGTTTAAACTCAAATACTAGGAAAGGGGCGCCAATGTCAAACGTTCTTACCCCGGTTCGGAAAAATCGTAGATCCGGGGCTGCCTTTAGAGTGGTTCATGGCCCTGCCAGGAGAATGTATATATGATTCACTGGCACTAAGTTGTTAAATTTTTCATATTTTAAAAAATTGTACCCAGCTAGCACATAACGTTGCCAAGCCTTTCGGCAATGTTGCTTTAAGAGAACGTTATAACATTACTATACCGTAAATGCAACGTTCATGAAAAGTTGTTGAGGGAAATCAAAATCTCGCAAAACTTCTATTTGTTACTTACCTATTTAACCTACCTGTTATGTTAACACAACGTAATAAAGTAATTTGCTTAAAAAAGTATCCACGAAAAGTAACTATGAACATCTAATCTGAACTCGAAACGCTTATGTCAATTGTCACTTGTTCTTGTCATATGTCATATTTTTGATGGTTGTTTTATAACTAGAATTTATTTTATAAATAATGTTTATACATTTGAGTAGAATTAGTAAGGATCCTCTATAAAATAGATAACTATTTTCTAAACCATTTTATTCGTTTCAGATTGCAATGCCTGGGGTAGTATTCTCGAATCACGAATACCGACATTCGCATACGTGTTTTACAATGTGTCTCACTTTGTTGAACGAAAACCAAGTGAGACAAATCATAAATCTCGCATGCGAATCTATATTCGTGACTCGAGAATACTACCCCTGGTATAAATTTAATATTTCATTCATTAGGTACCTACCCAATACAAATAAAATTGTTTAACTACTATAAAAACAAAGAATGGTGTAGACGAGAACAATTAACTGAATGTCCAGTTACATTTTACATAAATACTTATAAGAGAGGCTTAATCAAACTAAAAATATACAATTGAATAATATTATATTTTAAGGCTGTATGTCACGATACTGAATTAAGTACTAAATTTAGAACTAAATTAATGCATTTTTTAAGTACTAAAAAAATTCACGTTGCAAACAGCAAATTTAGTACTAAATTTAGTACTAAAAAAAGTCATTAATTAATTAGATCTTGCTCTATTTTCTACTAAATTTAGTACTAAAAGTGCGCCGAAATGTTGCGCAGAAGTTTTTCATAGAAAAAGTTGACACGACGGTATTTTCTGTACCCTTTTGTTTTTAATTAGCGACAATTTCACATTATCGCCTTGAATAAAGTTCGCCTGTTTGATTTTGTAGGTTTTATTGTGTTTTTCCGTGGTTTTTATGCTGTATTTGGTTGTCAAGTCAACTAGTATCAAATTGATAATAAAAACACCATTTACTTCACTTGTCTGTTTTACACAGAATATTTTATTTCTCTGCTAATTTCACGTATTAATACGTCAATGCGCGTGCGCCCATAGTAAATTTAGTACTAAAAATTGGTATCGTTGCAAACGGAAAAAAAAATATTTTTAGTTCTAAATTTAGTACTAAATTAATGACTTAATTTAGTGCTAAATTTAGTACTTAATTTAGTATCGTGACATACAGCCTTTAGGTTTCCTTCGTATCTAATGACATTCTAAGAATTTTAGAAGCAAAAGTAAATACTACAGACTTGTCTAAAGAAGTGTATATAACGCCTGAAATTTTATAAAAAGTTAATCTACAGCTAGGTACATGGCACGTCTATATTGAAAATAAAAACATCAGATTCAAGCAGTTCATTATCATCAACAGGCGTTGTGCCTGGAACTCTAATCATCAGTTCCCAGATAGCACAAAGTCGTCTTAAAGGCGTCTAGCATAAGACATTCGAGACGTCTTTAAGACGTCTGGTATTTCCTGAAAGACGTCTTTAAGACGTTTGATATTTCCTGAAAGACGTCTTTAAGACGTCTGATGTTACAAAAAGCGACGTCTTTAAGACGTCTTATTAATGGCTTATATTGGTCTGTAGAGCTTAAAATAAGCCATAAATAAGACGTCTTTAAGACGACTTATTAATATCTTATAATGGTCTTGTAAAGCCTTAAATAAGCCATAAATAAGATGTCTTTAAGACATGTGAAATGTGCTATAAAAGTCTTGCCGTTGCGGACATTCGGCGGTTGCAGGGATATTAGGGTTACATTACAAGTACATCGTATGCGAGTTTAAAGAGCCTAAAATTGCCTCTTATTAACATAGATGGGATGTTTTTGTGCTGGCTGGGTATATTTATCAATTTTTAAAGAGGGAATTTAACACCAGTATTTACTTTCTGAACATAGCGTTGCCAGTAAAACTCACTATTTTTGTTTAAAAAAAGTAAACGGATAAAAATTTAAGAGTTCGGACCTGTTTAAAAGACACCGCATATTGTTACCATTACAAACGCCAGTCTACTAGTATTACATTATTTTGAATTGTTGTGTATGTCATGATCAGGCGCGGATACAAAGCGGGGGTTAATAGGGTAATTACCCCCCCCCCCGAGCTGCTCGAACAAATCCAGGAGTTTATTAAATTGTAATCTAAAAACAACGAGATTTTACGAGAAAGAAAAAACAAGATGACGGTGACGAATGAAGAATAGAGAAGCACAGGCTGGCGTACAGTATTTTTTAAATAAACGAATGATTCTTTGATAAAAATATAATATCCCCCCCCCCCCGAAAAATCTTCCTAGATCCGCGCCTGGTCATGATCCATTCCCTATTACCTGCATGGTTATTTCGTAAGGAAAGTTACTTTATTTTTTTAACGAGCTTAAAAGAGGAGGTTCTCAATTCCTCGAAATAGTTTATGTATGTTCAGAGAAAAATTTTTACATAGACCGATTTAAAATTCCTTTTTGTTAGAAAGAAGATACCTCAAAAGTGTTCCATATAAATTTGGTCAAAATCTGATGGTGGGATGATCCATGAGAAAATGATTAAACTTTTCATTTTTGGTGCCGATTTTAAAAAAATATTTTTACAACTTGTTTATTTGCTTGATTTCATGTCTTTTGAAACATCCAAGGGTTATGTTGTAGTTGAAGGGTCTGGAAAACTGGCGTATCGGGGACAACACTAATCATTTGTAGTGCGCATGTCGTATGCGTTTTATTTGTACATCGGTCTCTTTTTGACAGAGTAGATGAGCTGTGTCCTGGGGGTCGATTCTCGACTTGTAGGAACCTTTTCCAATAGGAATTTGTGACACTTTCCTATATGTAGCGAAATGTCATAAATTTTCTATGTATAGAAAAATATCAAAAATTCCTATAGGAAAAAATTCCTACGAGTCGAGAATCGACCCCCAGGCCTTTGGTGTTTATGACGGTCGGCGTAGCCAAGTATGGATTGAAATTTTCTGGTGGCGGCGAAGCCGCCACCCTACGAGAAGTTGTTGCTTCGTCTTCTTGTTGTCACGGCATTATTATTTGTTCATGTATGTGAAATTTGCTTCTAAGCTTTATAAAATACTACTGCTAATCACGGCGTAAATGAAAACTGACGCATTCACACAAACACCACAGCAATTACAAATGATTAGTGTTGTCCCCAATACGCGTCATTTCTAGACCAGTCAACTACAACATTACCCATTCGAGTATTTCTTTTTGGCTGGCATACAAATTGTTCTGTAATATATTTGCTAATATAAACTCTTAAATGAAAAAAATGAAAAACTATACCGATTGTCCCAGTTACCTTAAAATTAGTTTTGATTTTGTTAAAATCTCTAATTATTCCAATAACCTTGACATGGTATGCCGAGATCAGTTAATCTTGGTAGAAGTTCATTTACGGTAAGGATATTCATTATAAAATCTTGTTGGACAGTCTATAATAAAATATTAAATAAAACATAGTGGGTATTTAAAAGTATTTTTATTATCTTAAAAAATAACCAAATTATCCTTCGAATCCATAAAATCGTCAGGTCTCTGTAATACATCTGGGGCCATCTTGTATTTACAAAAATTGATACTCCTCTGCAAATACTCATAGCTTAAACCGGCATCATTATCATCAGTGTACAGTTCACAATTCCGTGATACTTCAAACTTAATCCATTTGTAATTTGCACATCTTCTGGCTCCAGGTGAACTCTGTATGAGATGCTGGACCATTGGGTGGGTTAAACCAAAGAAATCGTGTCCTCTAGGTCTGGTACTCACGACATTTAGTGAGAGAGCGTCATTTATATTTTGCAGTAGCAAAGAATGGCAGACATCTGGAGTGTCACCAGTAATTGGAGGATTGCGATCATCTGAGGCTATTTCAAATCTATAATGAAAAATATTTTGTCATATAATAGTCCATGGTTGGATGTATTTTTTCTATAAAAACACAACGTTGGTCATAAATCAAATATGCTTGTGATGTTTTTTTATGGATAATTTAATTAATATATTCAGTTATGTAGACCACCATTTTTAGTTTAAAAGATATAAATGAATTATTACATGAAACTGAGATTTTTGTAACTTATGCAAAGGCACTCAGTAGTATTACTCTGAACTAACATTATTTATTATTTTTAAGCTCAAAATGAAAAGTAACTGATGCTTTATGTACAGAAAACAAATTTATGTACGTTCATAAAATAATTTCCTTCAAAAAAACGTACCTAGGCAAATCGTTCATGTCAGAAATCTTACATGTATAAATACATTTTTGAGTTGGATCCTTTAAACTTCCATAAACTCTTGTAGATACATATCCTACGGGGTATATTGCATTCTCAGAATGAAAATCTAATCTGTTATGAACCACTTCACCAAGAGAATGTACTGTGAGTCGTCCTAATTCAATGGGAAATACAGGTTTGCCATTGTGGTCGACAGGTACTGGTTGAACGACTTTTTTTCTACTTTTTGAAGAACTTTTTCTAGATTTCATGCTTGAAGATCTCCTCTCTAAAACAAAAATCACAATACCCATGTACATACTTCCTTTAGTATATTCAGATATTAAAAAATAAACATTATTTAGAAACAAAAGTTCAGGTAAAAAAGTGACAAGTTATTTTCTGAACATTGTTGTTACTTTTTAAACGTTTTAAAATAAATTAATTGAAATGAATATTCGGTAATCTTGTAGTTGACAGGTCTAGAAATGTGCATATTCACACCACTCTGCACTGACGTCTAGAATTAGAATTTGACAAAAATTTGAATTGTGCAATTATCACTATTGAAAGATATTATTGACATTAAAAATAATGATTATTACTTGAAAATCTTCAGAACATTTTTTTATTTTTATGGGATTTTTAAATGATGAAAAAATTGGTAAATAGATTATTAAAAGTAAAATAGTTATTTCAATATGCTTATTCCCTGGTTCCAAATAATTAAATATAACTTGGCAATTATATGTAACGATTCCAACTGTCAGAACTAGCCGGAACAGGAATGGTGCTGATAGGCGCATTTTCAGACCCTTCAACTACAAGATTATTTAATATTCCTAATATTACAGATACAGATCAACTTTTTGCTTCAACTATAAAATAAAAAAGGTATATAGTAAATAAAATGTGTTACCTGATGAATTCATGTGCCCTCTTTTTCGATTTTTCTTTGATTCAGTTGAAGTCATACTGGAGGATGGGTTTGGTAAAACAGGACGGTAAGAAGGGCCATCCTTAGCAGCATTCTGAACTTCTAGAGCTACCTGTGGTTCATATTCACATAATTTTCTTAAAAGGAATTTTCTTTCTTCTTTTCTAATGACAGTATTTATTTGTACCTCTTCTAATTCATCTACTAACGCTGCATTTTCCTTTAAAAAATAATCTACTCAATCATAACAAAAAATATAACCTAAACTAAGAATGCAGCTACCAAATGTTGTGAGAAAAAAATGTGTTTCAATACAATTTTTAATTAAAATAATAACTTACATGCACATATTCTCTGATCATTTGCTTTAATAACATAACCTTCTGTTTATATTTACCGGAAGACCTGTCAAAGTTATTTCTTTGAATATAATTATTGGTATGAAAATTTGAATTAGTATAATCATAATTCATTTTAAATTGATCCCTAATTCATTAAATAATTAAAATAACTTTTATTTATATTTTTGTCTGTAAACAAAAAATATTTTTTTATTTATCTGTCAAAGTCAAAGTCTAGAAATAGGTAATTTCTTCTTTCTTTTCTTCTTCTGCTTTATGTACATTATGGTCTAATCTAAGCTCCGTATTGATAAACAAAACTCAGCTGAGTCGGACTTGGGTAAGTCGTCCTGAACGAAAATCGAAGTTCGGTTATATCGCGTGAATTTAGAGATGGGTAGTAACAAATCCGTATATGTACATAACAGTTACAGATTTGCTAATATACATCTCTAAATTACAGTCTAACACCAGAACCACCTAGAGAACTTTAGAGATGTAACCACTGATCTGTATTATTTTACTGGATAGGATATAGGCTATATTTAACATACTAAAAAACCGTTCCACCAAGGAGACCGGAAGTGCAACAATGCTGGCCGATTTGGGCAAATTATGGTGGGTTCACAGAACTGAAATTTTGGATAATTTGACATACCTAACCTATAATTTGATTAGTTTTGCTTCTTATTCTTCTTCTATTCCTTTTGCGGGCGATGTCCTTCGGGAAAATTCACCCATAATTTGATTTTTTATGAAAGAAAATATAAAAATCGAAACGTTAAGCATATTGTGTCTTCAGGAATGAACGTTTATTGTTTATTTCATACTCTTTTTACTTTGTTTTCCACAATAAAAACATCTCATCGTAGCTTGTTGACACAATTAAATGACAAATGGAAATAGAGGTTACGTTAAATAACATCCGGTCTGCCATATTATTTGCCCAAATCGGAACGTTTTTTAGGGCGCTATATCCTATCCAGTAAAATAATACAGATCAGTGGATGTAACCGAACTTTGATTTTAAATTTTAACCCAAGTCCGACTCATCTGAGTTCTGTTTATAAATGCGGACCCTAAAATGATGAATATACAGTTAACGATATTAACTGAATAAATCAGTAGGTAGAGATTATTTCTAGATAATAACTGAATAAATCAGTATGTAGAGGTTATGTTATTTCTAAAAAAAGAAAAATAAAAATGTATATTAGGATAAGGAGCATTTATTTTTATTAGGATTATTTTTGTTTTTAGGAATAAAAACATTTTATGTACTTCTACATTTAAATATTATTAATACCGACTTTCGTTATCTGTTCAAGTACACCTTTTAAATTACTATCAAACAGTTCACATCTTATTGGCATTTCTAATGAATAAAATGGATTTTTTAAAGCATAATCAGCATAAAGTTCATATATTCTTCTAAGTAAAATTTCAACTCCTGTTTGTGCCCTATCAGTAACTATCATCAGCTTCACCCCAGTTAAAGTCTGAAAGCAGTTCAGTCGGAATGTATCTGCCTCAAGTACTTCTATTCCGGAAGTTTTTGGTTCAGGACTCAGCTGACTTGCTATAGCAAACAGGGGATAAAACATGCTTGCAAGAAATATTTTTTCGTTCGTAGTCATCTTTGGCCTGCCAAATTGTAATGTAACAGGATAATTCTCTTTTTTGTCTAAAAATACCATGGCATCTTGCCCATTATCCAATTGTTGCCCCGTTACTGGTATCCCGTTAATTGCACTTAATACATGACCCACTAAAAAATTGCAAATTGTTTATTTTAAATGGGAGGATCATTTATAATTTACCTTGGATCCCATCTTTCTGACCAAATTCAACTACAATTTTTTTGTTCTCCACCCTCAACTTTATATCCAGAGGATAAGAAAATTTCTTCTCGGTTTCGATATTTGGTACAAGATTGTCGTAATTAAAGATTAAACCACCAGATTTTGAAACAATATAAATACCATAAATAACCATTTCAAAATATTTGTATTTTTGTATTCGACTCTGACATTTGAAATAACTTAACCTATAAATTATAAATCTGAGAATAGGGTGAAGTTAAGACCAATCCAAATGACTTGTTTTTTGAAGTTATTTGCACCATTTTTCCACGTGAAACGTGAAACTGGATATTATCTTCATACAACGATATTATTTTCGTATTGTCATGGCGTCGATGGTTCTCAATTCGTCGGAATATTTTTCGTGATCAATTTTTAACTGACTTCAAAAAAGGAGGAGGTTCTCAATTCGTCCATATTTTTTTATGTATGTTCAGTGGTAATGTTTTACCACAATGTCCTCAGAGGTGGTCTCATATAAATTTGGCCAAAATCTATTAATGGCGTCATCAAACTCTTCATTTTTTTATGTATGTTCAGCGATAATTTCTTAATCGTTGTCAGATTTTTATGATTACCTATTTTTTTGTTAAAAAGGGGGAGCCTTAGGGGTGGTCCCATATACATTTCGTCAAGATTTTATAATGGGATCTATGATAAAATCAGCAAACTCAATTTGTAATAGCAACTTCACGGCATAAGAAACAATCGGCAGGCTCACTTGCCGCTGATCGCATAGAACCATAGATAAATTAATAAACAAGATAAATCGTTTAAATGCACGGCACTGGTAACAAGTATTTTAGGTGTTTAGTTCCTCAGCATACTACTTGGAGCCACCATCGCAATAAGATGAAAGCGATGTTGCCAGTTTCCATAAACTTTCATGAGATTAGAATTATTTCAAACATATTATGTTGTTTTTTTGTCAAGCTCGATACCATCCATACAATGGCATACTATTGCATACTATTGATGGGATATTTTAAAAAGAAGTTCGACAACCTTGTAAAAATGAAAAACGGAATGGCGGCGAAAGGCGAAATGATGGCCAACGCCAAATTACAACAATATAAGTAAATAAAAGTTATTTTATGAAAGTTATTTTTAGGTTAAGAAGATTTATAAGTGATGATTTGATGTAATTAGTAAGTATTAACAATTTAATTCAATATTAGGTGTTAGATTTGTTTAAGGACTTTGTTTATCATTGTTTTCTTAGCCAATATAGGTAATTTCATTTTGAATCTATTTTCAATTCTTTTTTTAATATATTTGTAACTTGTAACAATATTAATACATGTCCGACCCGGGCAAAGCATCGAAAGGTGAAACTAAGTATTCGTGTTCAGCTCCTAATTGTTTAAATTGGTATTCTAATATTCAACAAGCTGGTTATTCAAATAAAACCTTTTTTTTTTTTCATTTTCCTTCTAATGTTAAAATTCGAGAGAACTGGTTTAAGTATTTAAATTTAACTTTTGATAATAAAACTCGCTATCTTTGTGAAGATCATTTTTTGCCAGAGTCTTTTAGCAAAATTGCCATAAAACGTAAACGACTAATTGTAAATGCTTTTTACAGAAAAAAATGAAATAAAAAAGCATCCTCAATGTGTTAGTCCACTACTTTACCTTCTCGTGGTGGGATGCGGGAAACAGTAAACAAAAAGCAAATTCTCGAAAGAAGATTTTTTCAAACCTCGGAGTTGCTGCTCTTTATTTACTGGCTAAAGTTGGTAAGTACTAACAAATTCTTAATTTTTTATTTATAATAATTTTGTTTGTTAAAGAGATTAATCAATTAAGCTACATTTTCCAAATTGCAGTAAACCTATACTAAATAATTTGATTGTTAAATTAACTAGTATTTTTATAAATTTCAATATAATTAATAGTCAATAAGTTTCACTTTTTCCTCCTCTTAGATTGAAACCTTGCCTTGGTGAGAGGGCTTGCGAACTTTAATGATTATTACAGAATTTAAAGGACATCCTTTTGTTGTCTGTCAAAAATGAAAAGAAATTTTAAACTCTAATTTGTTATAAATATCAACTAGAACAGATTTGTTTTACAGTTAAAATAAAATTCAAATTAACTATTGAACTATGAGAAATAATTTTTGTTTATAAACTAATTAAAATTAACTTGTACTTATAAGAATTGGCAATATTTTGATAAGAGAAATTGTTCAATAAGGTATGTACACTTTTTTTTGTTTTTATAGAAAATGCCCTGAGAAAACACATAACACCTGCATCGAAAATAGGTCTATTTTCCAAGAATGAGAGGAGATTACTATTAATTTCACTTATAATTATTGTTATGTAATATCGAGTATATGTTATGTATGTAATAAACGTTTAAATGCACCTTACTTGTATTAAATGATTAAACTATACCTGTGTTTCAAGTATTTTAGTATAAATATTTCTTTATTTATATTTTTTGGAGTTTTATTACTTTAAAAAACTAATATTTATGTTAAATACAATATTTTAATTTAAATATTAGTTTTTATTTGAGTAATGAATTCCGAAAAAATATAAATAAATAATAAAGTACATTTGAATGAACCGCGGGAAAACTAGACACTCTTCTTTTTATTTTCTTCTTCTGTGCTGCCTTTAACTGTCAAGCCTATTGTGTAATGTGCGATGGTGGCTCCAAATAGTATGCTGACAATGCTGAGGAACTAAACGTGTTACCAGTGCCGTGCATGTAAACGATTTATCTTACATATTAATTTATTTATGCATAGAACAGGGGGGCTATTTTCAAAGTATGGGAGCACTCATTTCTCTCAAGATTCTCATCAGAAATGTCATACGTCAATGTGGAAACGCTGTTTTTAAAGGCCTCGAGGATTAAAATTCTTATGAGGATATTAATTGTCTCTAAATAAACCGTGAGAAACAATCAGTGAGTTCACACTGGCCCTTAGGACCCTAAAAATACTGTTTTACGTTGACGTATGACATTTCTCTCGAGAGAAATGAATTCTCTCGACTTTGAAAATAGCCCCCCAGAAGTAAAAGTTGGAAATGCTTTTGCCAGTTCTCCCACTTTATACACATAAATTGACAGGTTGTCAGCGGATCTCACCGAAGTGGACACGATACATTGGCGTACAAAATTATTTTATAGATGTTAATAACAATTTCGAGTAAATAGTTTAATAAATTGTGAATAGCTGTTGAAATTTTGTAAAATTATAATTTGAATATTATAATACATGTTTAATAATTATTTATAATCCATAAATACATGCGATTGTCCGGTTCCGCCGATAACAATTTAAAATTACTTATTCTATGAAACGACACTGGCAGGTAAACATTACTGTGAAATTCTCGGAGCCGCCCGACGTGGTTTGACGTTTACCCCCTCTCTACCTACCAAAAGACTTTTCAACTTTTACTTTCTCTCTACAAATATTATACTAAGAAAAGTTGACCTTGGCGACGCCATTTGGGGGTCTTAGTCAGGGTAGAAATAAAGCGTATTTAAAGATTTTGTAATAAAATAAGGTATTGATAGACAGGATCGTATTAAAACAAAAAAGTAAAAATTTACATAAAATATATTTTAATTTAACTTATAAAAATAGCATTAAGAAAGACAATATGCTCTACAGATTGCGCCAAATAATTAGCTTGTTTTTATTGATGGTCTTAAAATTTCTATTAATATTTTTAAAGTGTAATATATGAGTAGCCTTAAATATAACTTAATAAACATATATTTCTGGAAATCGGGGACAAGGAGCGTCAAATGTTATCTCGGAATTAATTAAATCTAAAAAAAAAAATACAAACGCCGGATTTAGTGATAAATAATTCAAAATTTTGTTGAAAAATTATTTCAATTTTTGTTATTAAATATACAAAACTATTATTTGACATTTTTAAATTGCCAAAAATATCATCATTTGCTTTTTTGTATGGTTTATAATACATGGAGCTTGTATCCAAGTCTTCGTGTGGTAAGGCATATTGTGAACATTCGTCGCAACTGTGAATTTTAAGACATTTTTTTAATTAAAAATCCGCATATATAATAAAATTTTCTTAAAAAATATTAATATTTTGTGCATGCAACTCATTAATATGCTTGTTCATATTTACATTTTCGACAATATTGCCACCATTACACGCGATTTTGGAAAATGGCTCATCCTTACTAGTCCTACGAATTTCATGCATGCAAGTAAAGCATCCCCACCTGTTTCGCAGTTTTCAGTTCCAGAATGTAATAAATTTAACATTACAATTTTTTGAACGTCCTTTGAAATTGGACCGATGTAGGGTTTACACAGTTACCATCATGGAGGAAGGATAATTAAGAGTTGCAGATTCCTCACAGAAATTTGGCAGCATGTTTACCTTCAGCGAAATATGGAATAGTTTTGTGAAATTAATACTCAGTCGGTAATATAGAAAGATGTAATGCTATTTTATTTTAAAAATTGGCGGGCTTTTGAATTTACTTCGACAAAATATAAGAATTTTACATTTTTAATAGCATTTTTTTAATACGCATCTCAGGCGTATTAAAAAATGCAAATAAAAATGTAAAATTTTATGTTAAATAATTTTAGAAGTGTAAAATCAATAATACAAAATTGTAACAACTAAATATTATTTGTAGAATCTTTATTGGTTACAATAATAAACATAATATACATTTTCTGAATAAACAACTATATTAAATAACATAAAACAAACAAAATTTTTCTATAATCGTGCGAAATAAAATAAGAGTTCCTGCCATAAATCCTGAAACGAAAAACAAAAAACAATCGTTGAAAGCGAAAAACTGCTTAAGACACATGATTTCGATTGTATGTGACTCATTACTAATTTTTAATTTACTACTTATAATTTCTTTAATGGCTAATTAAGATTTTCTTGCTTTTTGTAATCAAAATACTTTAGATTTATCAAGATTATAAAGCTGTTATTCGCATATCTAGAATAATTATTATCAAAATTAATATCAGAATTAAATTTTTTTTAAGCATTTCAATATTTGGAAATAATACATTTACGATTAATATTAATTTTTTTCTGAAAAAAAAAGTCATTCCTTACAAAAAATTCTACTTGTTGAGAAAAATTACAAGAAAAAGATTCCTTTTTAAGTTATGAAGGAAAACCGACAGGAAAACTGTGACTTTTCTTCGTAAAATCAATAGGTAATACAGATTTGTGTCAATTTCAAGTTTCTTCATTTATTAAGACCCTGTACACCTTACCTAACATATTAATATAGTAAACCTATTTTTTCGTCAAACAGAATTTTTTTA